GCACAAGCATATATATATATTATATATATATATATATATATATATATATATATATATGTCGTACCTAGTAGCCAGAACGCACTTCTCAGCCTACTATGCAAGGCCCAATTTGCCTAATAGGCCAAGTTTTCATGAATTAATGTTTTTTCGACTACCTAACCTACCTAACCTAACCTAACCTAACTTTTTCTGCTACCTAACCTAACCTAACTTTTTCTGCTACCTAACCTAACCTAACCTAACTTTTTCTGCTACCTAACCTAACCTAACCTATAAAGATAGGTTAGGTTAGGTTAGGTTAGGTAGGGTTGGTTAGGTTCGGTCATATATCTATGTTAATTTTAACTTCAATAATAAAAAATTGACCTCATACACAATGAAATGGGTATCTTTATCATTTCATAAGAAAAAAAATAGAGAAAATATAATAATTCATGAAAACTTGGCTTATTAGGCAAATCGGGCCTTGCATAGTAGGCTGAGAAGTGCGTTCTGGCTACTAGGTACGACATATATATATATAAAATATATAAATATATATATATATATATATATATATATATATATATATATTTATATATTTTATATATATATATGTCGTACCTAGTAGCCAGAACGCACTTCTCAGCCTACTATGCAAGGCCCGATTTGCCTAATAAGCCAAGTTTTCATGAATTAGTTGTTTTTCATGTACCTAACCTACCTAACCTAACCTAACTTTTTCGGCTACCTAACCTAACCTGACCTATAAAGATAGGTTAGGTTAGGTTAGGTAGGGTTGGTTAGGTTCGGTCATATATCTACGTTAATTTTAACTCCAATAAAAAAAATTGACCTCATACATAATGAAATGGGTAGCTTTATCATTTCATAAGAAAAAAAATATATTAATTCAGGAAAACTTGGCTTATTAGGCAAATCGGGCCTTGCATAGTAGGCCAAAAAGTGCGTTCTGGCTACTAGGTACGACATTATATATATATATATATATATATATATATATATATATATATATATATATATATATATATATATATATATATATATATATATATATATATATATATATATATATATATATATATATATATATATATATATATATATATATATATATATAAAATATATATATATATATATGTCGTACCTAGTAGCCAGAACTCACTTCTCAGCCTATTATTCAAGGCCCGATTTGCCTAATAAGCCAAGTTTTCCTGAATTAATATATTTACTATAATTTTTTTCTTATGAAATGATAAAGCAACCCTTTTCTCTATGTATGAGGTCAATTTTTTTTTATTGGAGTTAAAATTAACGTAGATATATGACCGAACCTAACCAACCCTACCTAACCAAACCTAACCTATATTTATAGGTAAGGTTAGGTTAGGTAGCCAAAAAAAGCTAGGTTAGGTTAGGTTAGGTAGGTTAGGTAGACGAAAAAACATTAATTCATGAAAACTTGGCTTATTAGGCAAATCGGGCCTTGAATAGTAGGCTGAGAAGTGCGTTCTGGCTATTAGGTACGACATATATATATATATATATATATATATATATATATATATATTATTAAATATGACCGAAAAAGTAAGATTAATAATTCTAACACGAATTTTCTCAATCTTTCGTACATTACGCTTCACTGTTGGAGGTAATTCAAAAATCACTTCTCCAAAATTCATTTTTATTTCTAGTCTGACGCGACACGGGCGCATTTCGTAAAACTTATTACATTTTCAAAGACTTCACAAATACACAACTGATTAGAACGTATCTCTGATTTTATATCTACATTTTGAGTGAGGTGGGAAGGGTGATGTGGCATTAACACAAGACAGAACAGGAGGGGATATTAATAGGGTATTAAAAGTATCAACACAAGACAGAACAGAAACAATGGGTATTGAATAGAAGTGTTTGTAGAAAGCCTATTGGTCCATATTTCTTGATGCTTCTATATTGGAGCGGAGTCTTCAGGTGGGTAGAATATAGTTGTGCAATAATTGGCTGTTGATTGCTGGTGTTGACTTCTTGATGTGTAGTGCCTCGCAAACGTCAAGCCGCCTGCTATCGCTGTATCTATCGATGATTTCTAGTTGTTTACTAGATTTCTGTGTTGTTTACTAGAAATCCTAGTAAACAACACAGAAATCATCGATAGATACAGCGATAGCAGGCGGTTTGACGTTTGCGAGGCACTACACATCAAGAAGTCAACACCAGCAATCAACAGCCAATTATTGCACAACTATATTCTACCCACCTGAAGACTCCGCTCCAATATAGAAGCATCAAGAAATATGGACCAATAGGCTTTCTACAAACACTTCTATTCAATACCCATTGTTTCTGTTCTGTCTTGTGTTGATACTTTTAATACCCTATTAATATCCCCTCCTGTTCTGTCTTGTGTTAATGCCACATCACCCTTCCCACCTCACTCAAAATGTAGATATAAAATCAGAGATACGTTCTAATCAGTTGTGTATTTGTGAAGTCTTTGAAAATGTAATAAGTTTTACGAAATGCGCCCGTGTCGCGTCAGACTAGAAATAAAAATGAATTTTGGAGAAGTGATTTTTGATTTACCTCCAACAGTGAAGCGTAATGTACGAAAGATTGAGAAAATTCGTGTTAGAATTATTAATCTTACTTTTTCGGTCATATTTAATAATATATGTCTACAGGAAAGACTGCTACCAAAATATACTAATATATATATATATATATATATATATATATATATATATATATATATATATATATATATATATAATATATATATATATATATATATATATATATATATATATATATAATATATATATATATATATATATATATATATATAATATATATATATATATATATATATATATATATATATATATATATATATATATATATATATATATATATATATATATATATATATATATATATATATATATATAATATATATATATATATATATATATATATATATATATATATATATATATATATATATATATATATAAATATATATATATATATATATATATATATATATATATATATATATATATATATATATATATATATATATATATATATATATATATATATATATATATATATATATATATATATATATATATATATATATATATATATATATATATATATATATATATATATATATATATATATATATATATATATATATATATATATATATATATATATATATAATATATATATATATGTCGTACCTAGTAGCCAGAACTCACTTCTCAGCCTACTATTCAAGGCCCGATTTGCCTAATAAGCCAAGTTTTCCTGAATTAATATATTTACTATAATTTTTTTCTTATGAAATGATAAAGCAACCCTTTTCTCTATGTATGAGGTCAATTTTTTTTTATTGGAGTTAAAATTAACGTAGATATATGACCGAACCTAACCAACCCTACCTAACCTAACCTAACCTATATTTATAGGTAAGGTTAGCTTAGGTAGCCAAAAAAAGCTAGGTTAGGTTAGGTTAGGTAGGTTAGGTAGACGAAAAAACATTAATTCATGAAAACTTGGCTTATTAGGCAAATCGGGCCTTGAATAGTAGGCTGAGAAGTGCGTTCTGGCTATTAGGTACGACATATATATATATATATATATATATATATATATATATATATATATATATATATATATATATATATATATATATATATATATATATATATATATATATATAAATATATATATATATATATATATATATATATATATATATATATATATAAAATATATATATATATATATATATATATATATATATATATAATATATATATATATATATATATATATATATATATATATATATATATATATATATATATATATATATATATATATATATGTCGTACCTAATAGCCAGAACGCACTTCTCAGCCTACTATTCAAGGCCCGATTTGCCTAATATGCCAAGTTTTCATGAATTAGTGTTTTTTCGTCTACCTAACCTACCTAACCTAACCTAACCTAGCTTTTTTTGGCTACCTAACCTAACCTTACCTATAAATATAGGTTAGGTTAGGTTAGGTAGGGTTGGTTAGGTTCGGTCATATATCTTCGTTAATTTTAACTCCAATAAAAAAAAATTGACCTCATACATAGAGAAAAGGGTTGCTTTATCATTTCATAAGAAAAAAATTATAGTAAATATATTAATTCAGGAAAACTTGGCTTATTAGGCAAATCGGGCCTTGAATAGTAGGCTGAGAAGTGAGTTCTGGCTACTAGGTACGACATATACTGTATATATATATATATATATATATATATATATATAATATATTAATATATAATATATTAATATATATATATATATATATATATATATATATATATATATATATATATATATATATATATATATATATATATATATAGACACAGGCTTCCTGTCCCCTAACAAAATTACTCATTTGTTACCAACATTGCACATCAGATATATTTAACTGGTATAGGCTTAAACAAGGATGACTAGTACAGTACATTTTCATTAAATTTCAAAATACTACACATTTATAATTACAATTAATTCATTTTTATAGTGCATATACTGAATTATTTAATGACTGGAGAAAGAGACATACCTTATACATAATATATTGCAACACTATTATATCACAAAGCTGCATGCATACATGCTAGCATATATAGCCATGCTTAAATATTATGTCGATAGACCAACCCGTTCTCGCAAATTCGTAAAGTCAATATTGACTTATTAACTACGTGCATAGGTGATATACTAAACATAATAGATACCCTTAAAAAGCTTCATAGAAAACACCGACCTTACCTAACCTTGTTAGTATCTTAAGATAAGCATCTTATTGCTTCGTAATTACAATTATTACTTAACCTATACCTATAATAGGTTAAGTAACAATTGTAATTACGAAGCTATAAGATGCTTGTCTTAAGATACTAACAAGGTTAGGTAAGGTCGGTGTTTTCTATGAAGCTTTTTAAGGGTATCTATTATTATGTTTAGTATGTCACCTATGCACTTATTTAATAAGTCAATATTGACTTTACGAATTTGCGAGAACGGGTTGCGATAGACTCTATACATAAACAACAACCTACATAAACAAAGGAACTCCAATTATTATTAACAATGCCTTAAATCTGGTGCACCTAACAACTGTAAGGTAAGGATAACACGCTCCAGTCAGCGGCAGACGTGCCCGTCTTTATCCAAGCTTCAGTTGCAACAATATTTCAACCCATTATTAAAGTGCACGTATAGTATTTGTGATAAATATTATCAGTTTCCGTATGTGACTGTGTACATCAAAAAGAGAAAGCAAAGAAAATTATAGAATTAAACAAGAAAAGGCTGTGAGGATTTGATAATAAACTTTCTATAATTTGTTTATATGTTATCAGTTAAAAATAATTTCAAGGCAATACATTAGAAGGAACATTGAAATTTGCAAAAAGACTATTTATGCAAAAATTCTCCACCTTTTGCTTGCACTAATGATTATGTTTATAAATAAGAGGAATAGCAATTGCAGCGGCAGTTCTCACTGAGGGATCTGGATCACGGAGAAGGTGGAGTAGGCCATGACTCACTGACGATACATTTACCTCTTCACTCCTCTCACAATTATACACAAGGTTACCTGTAATGCCAAAATACATAAATGAATATTAGAATGACTTTGAATAATTTCATAGTAATAGGTGACACCCTACAAAAGCACTCAAAGGGAAAGGAATAATACTGTAATATTAATAATAATATTTAATATTTATTGATATAACATACATTACACTCGCACACTCTCACTTACACGTACACACTTTAAATTATGTGGAAAAGAATTAACACATTTGATGCCCTGGTGGGTAGCCCCGCCGCCCACCCCAAGGCAGACCGAGTGGTAGCCATCAGCTCACTGTCTCACTACAATGTTTATACTGTTTTTCAGCTTTCCTACCTCAATTTTTGTGATACATTGTTCAATTTGGTATCAAATTGTTCACAATAGAATGCTCTAAAGAAATATTTGCATATTATTTATATATATATATATAAAAATAAGAGCAACGTTACCAATACGATAAGTTAAAGAACATTGTCATGCGAAAAAATGACTTTACATCGTTGTTTATTCATTCCCGACATTTTCTACAACACCATATCATTCGTTTTTGTGTCGTTTCCTTCATAAATGTTTGTACAAATGGGGCAGTGTTGTCAGTAGACCAGGGTTCACCAGAACTGGTGCCTGGGGTCTGTTGGGTACTAGTTCTAAGTGAAGGGCCTGCAATTTTATCATCACTCCACTCACTTTCAATCTCATCCTTGCCTGCTGTTTCAGTTTCAAACACCTCACTATCACTTTCTGAACTTTCAAGATCACTGCCTGAAAACTAACTATAGCCTGAAATTTTGTAGGTGTGAGTTTCACTTTGCTATACATAATTTTGGCGAACACTTGTTAGCTTTTCCCTCATCTGTGTTTTTTTTTCACCACTTTCGTCATCGATTGGCTCTGTTCTTGTTCACTATCCATCTTGGAGGAAACGTACGGTGTTTATGAAGGAAAAACAACCAGAACGGGCTCACATTTTTTAACGTGGCAGTCACGAGCGTGGTCATGAAAGCACTGAGACCCACGTGGTGGTCTTGTGAAGCCATGTGGGCTATAAAGAGAATGTGAAGACGTTGGCACGCATTTTAAAACTAACTTCATAATAATCGGATAAGACATGGATTTTTTATGCCTACCTTTCTGGGTGCCTAACACTGGTCAATGGCAGATAAGGAAAACCACAGGAGGGTTTTCCGGGGCCATTGCTCCCTGTTTCTCTCCGAGAGGGACAGGTTCTTGCATGTGGTCCCTAGTATATATACTGTTACGGTAAAAATTACTAAGTGCAGTGGCTTAGGGCAGATGGAATGCCACAAACATATAAACCAAAAAAAGTGAAAACAAATTCAAATAAAACTGCTATGTTGACTTCTTCACGGTGTGGGAAATGCAGGATAAAAAACAAAAATGAAAAATTTGTATACTTTAATATGAAAAAATTAACTAACAAATGACAAACTGAAAATAGCTCCTTAAAAACTTTACTTACTTACAGGGTGCTAAACAATTAAAACAAAAATCGAACAGACAATTTAACGTTACGTTAGAGAACATGAAATGGTGCTGAAAATACTTTATGCCAGGCTGCATAGATCTACCCCCATGCAAGGCAGTGTGAAGATAGGTCCAGTAGCTAGAGCACTAGAGTGTATTCTGCTGGTGGTGGTGGCCGGCTTCTATTTATATGGGACTTGACCAATGTAGGTGGCGCTGGTGTGACGATAACTGGGAGCCGGCTCAGACAAACTAGCAGTGCTTGTTCCCGGCCGGTGGCATGAGCTTGCCACCACCAGGCGTGCTGGGGGTCACGGGTGCTGAAGAGTAGGGGAGAGTAGACCACTGTCTAGACTTCTGAGCACTAGTAGTTGTTCTTGCTGTAGTTCTTGAATATGTAGATGTGGTGTGGTAGAATAGGTGGTGATGGAGCAGGCCTAATCTCCTTCCTAGGGAGATCCGTGATAATACAAAGAATGCCAAGAAACTTCATACTGTCGCCGAGATGAAGCTCTCAGGTGGGACACTATCAAAGAAGCCATCAGTGGTGATAAACCTGCATAAAAAATCCCAGACGCGAAGAGCGGAGGAGAAGACCAAACCAGCCACCATGTAATGGACCAGTCCGATTTGCTGGAAGAAGGAGAGCTGTAGAAAACGCCCTGGGTTCAGACACCGAGCAAGCAGCACCCGAAACAAAGGCTGGGCTGGCTATCAAAGGGCCAAGAGGACTATTCATCCATTGTAAGACTCAAACCGAACCAGAAACCAAAGTAACAGCTGGACCGGGGGAAAGAGTTACAGGTAACCTTACTTTGACCAGTCCTGCCAAAAGGCGTCCACCACAAAAGCTCTGCGGTCGGGGAAGGGTGCCACATGTCGGGAGACGTGTTGACCAAGCCAAGACGAAGAGGTCCACCTCTGGGAGCCTGTACGTCTGGCAGAGCCAACTGAAGGAGTTAGCGTTGATCGTCCATTCCGTGGACAGGGGAATGAACCGATACAGGCTGTCCGCCAGGACGTTGGACACTTCCTGGATAGGAAGTGTCCACCCCTAGATCTCTTTCTTTATCAGAAGTCTTTTAAAGATTTTCCACATAATTTATAGGTTGTGTGGGGTCTATGTTCTCCTATTCCACATTACATAACATGGCATTTATGCACATTAAATTCCATGTGCCAAATGGTGCTAAATATACTTATTTTGTCCCGGTCCTCTTGAAGGGTATTACAATCATCTAAGTTTCTTATCCTTTCTCTATTATCTTAGCATCATCAGCAAACATGTTCATATAATTCTGTATTCCATCTGGCAGATCATTTGTGTAGACAATGAACATCACCGGTGAAAGAACTAAACCCTGTTGTACTCCACTGGTGACATTCCTCCAATCCGATACATTGCCTCTGATTACTGCCCTCATTTTTCTATCAGTTAGAAAATTTTTCATCCATGTTAGAAGCCTACCTGTCACCCTCTCTAATATGTTCCAGTTTCCAGAACAACCTCTTAGGTGGAACTCTGTTGAAAGCCTTTTTTTAAGTCCAGAAAGATGCAGTCAACCAAACCATCTCTTTCCTGTAAAATCTCTGTGGCTTGATCATAGAAACTGAGTAAATTCGTTACACAGATTGGGCAGTTTCTGCAAGCGGCTTCTTCTCGTTGTCGTCCGTTATCAAACTTCGGGGTCCCTAGGGGATGGGGGGGTTGTTATTCCTCCCGATCGGGGCATGTCTGCTTACCAGGGTTGCTTCGGGTTCCTGGTGCCCTGGCGGATGTTTCATGTCGTTTCCTGACAGCCTTGGTTTCATGCGCTGCTTGCTCGGTGTCCGCATCAAGGGGCTTTTCCCACGGCTTCACCTCTTTCAGATGCTCGGTCCGGTACGGTGCTGGTTTGGTCTTTTCCTAGAGTCTTCGCATCTGGTAATTTTGACTCTAGTTTATCATCATATGTTTGGTGATCAGGTGGTTTCGTTGATGGTGTCCCACCTGCATGCTTCATCTCAGCGGCGGTATGGGGTTTCTTGGCGGTCCTTCCTTTTTTCTTTTTCTCTCTTCATGGGTATAATGCACTTTTTGTTGAGGTTGTTTTGTCCTTTCTTTCGTGGTTGTTTCAGGACTGTCATCTGATGCTGAATACTGTCGCCTCGTATTGTGCGGCGCTGGCGGAGCCGCTGCAGCTTGCATTTTGTATTGTTGTTACTTCTGCTCCGTTTCACAAGCTGTCTCATGTGTTGTTTCACCTCTGGCCTGCTCATGTGCCGCTTGAGCCGTCCTGGTCCTTGGATAGGGTCCTCTCTTATCTGTCCTCTCGGTTTGTTGTGGCTCCATTGGTTCAGGATTGTTTTTCCAAAGCTCTTTTCTTGTTGGCATTGACCTCTGGGGGTTGGGTCGGGAAACTTCATGCTCTCCTCCGGCACAGGGGTTTCTGCTCTTTTGGTCACGGTGATAGGTTTGTTTGTTTGTTTGTTCGTATCCCATCTCCTTTTCTGGCAAAGAATGAGACGGCTGCGTTCCGGAGGGGGCCTTGGGTCATTAATGCTTGGTTGGTCAGGCCAGTGGTGCATCATGTGTTTGTCTGGTTGCGGATATCCACAGTTATTTGCGCACCACGGCCTTTGTGGCCAGGGAAGCGCATTGAGTTCATCCGGTTTCCCTTCTTCCCCGTTCCAGGGTTCGGGTCTCTCAGGTCATCCACAGGGTTCTTCCATCCAGACAGCTTGTGGTCTATCCCCGTGCCCATGACGTCCGTAAGTTTGCTGCGCTTGCTGCCGTCTTCGATACCATTTCTTGGGCTGACATTTGGGCGCTGGGTTTTTGGCGCTCGTACAGGGTACTGGCTGCACGCTACCTTGTAAATGTTCCTTGGCCTAGTCGGGCCTGTGTCACTTTGGGTTGGGGGTTGCAGCCCGTTGTCTCGACTTTGAGTTGAGAGAGTGCCAACCGCTTTCTGGGTAAGTCCCTCTTGTTTTTGTCTTTTGTGATGTAGCTCTGGGGAGCCGAAGGGGCTTCCTCCAGAAAACCAGCGTTGAATGTAATAAAACGCCATTTTCTGGGTGAGACCCAGAGGCTCTATTCCAACCCTTCCTCTCCCTGGTTGGTGGTTTTTCACACGTTTTGACATCCAGCCTCGAACAGACAGATGGATAGCTGGTGCGAGGGGTCTGGGGCTCCCAGTTCCCCCTCCCGGGAAGGGGGAAGCTGCACAACACGTGGTGCGGCAAGTGTGACATCATGCTCGTTTGCTCGTTTTTCACATGGGGAGTTCTGTCCACTTGTTAGCTTTCAGCAGTAGTTTTAACCAGAATAGGGGTTTGTTTTGAGGCCCTTACCTTTGTGGGTGCCTGGCCCAGTCACTGGCAGACATAGAATGCTCCAAACACATGTGCACTTCTATAGGCCATTGCTCCTTGTGCCTCTCTAAGGGGGCCAGGTTCTGGCTCTTGGTCCCCAGTAGGCCTAGAACTCCATTCACACTGACTGATGCCAAAGTCTAATAATATACATGTCAGCCTGGATAGCTCCGGGGAGCCTCTGGGTCTCGCCCAGAAAATGGTTGTTTCTTTACATTCAATTTTTTTTTTTTTTGTCTCTTCCCAGTAAGAATTCCTGCTTATCTGGTAACGGGTCCTTCCCATATTGCCTGAATAAGTGAAAGTAGTCAGTACATGTACTATCTGAACAGGAGGATGGGCTGGCTTCTTGAGATATGGGTATCTTGAGGTTATCTTGAGATGATTTCGGGGCTTTAGTGTCCCCGCGGCCCGGTCCTCGACCAGGCCTCCACCCCCAGGAAGCAGCCCGTGACAGCTGACTAACACCCAGGTACCTATTTTACTGCTAGGTAACAGGGGCATTGGGTGAATAAAAACTCTGCCCATTGTTTCTCGCCGGCACCTGGGATCGAACCCAGGACCACAAGATCACAAGTCCAGTTTGCTGTCCGCTCGGCCGACCGGCTCGAGCGAGTGGTACCATCCAACTGCTGCATATTCCAGTTTTGATCTCATGAAAGTCATGAACAATTTCTTTAATATTTCACCATCCATGTATTTAAAAGCGGCTCTGAAGTTGGAAAGCGTAGCATATGCTCCTCACACAATGTTCTTTATGTGCTCCTCTACTGACAAGTCTATTATCCAGTCTGTGCAGCAATTACCTACGAGAGTCGGAGGTCTAGCAAAAGCACTGGACATGTGCAGGAAGAAAGGAGGATCAGGAGCCATGGCAAGAAGCAGCCACATGTCAGTCAGTAGAACAAGACCAACAAAACTAACTTCATCAGAAGAGACAGAAGTATCTTGACTGGGAAAGGAGCTAGCACCTTTAGCTCACATTGAATGTGAATCACCTAGAGGACTACACCCAGATAACCCAGAAGAGACTATATCCGGAATACAATGCTACTGTGAGTTTGACTGCAAAATGTATAACCATTCTAAACACTTGTGTGCTACACTCTGCCCACCTGCTCCATTCCAGTTCACTTTAGGGAATGACACATAAGCAGAACCGTGAATGTGAGTAACACAACATTTTGAAGTACTTCTAAATTATAAAGTTAGGTGCTGATTTTAGTACTGTACTCTGAATTTAATGTTTTATTTATTTATTACATAGAAGTAGATAAACAGTCAACATTAGATCAGACGACATGAACCGACTAACACTTGCAGACTGTGTGGTATGTGTTGCCTAGAAAGCTCCCTCTGACAAATCTGAGCCTGGATGTCACTTCACTTCAGTACCTATACCCAACTTACTAAGTAATGCCACTAGCAAAATCCACAACAAAAATCACTGGAATTATTCCTCAACATTTTATATGACCTGAAGGGTACAACACTTTAATGTGCAGAGCATTTCCCATATAGTTTTGTTTAAATGCTGTATAATGTATTCATTACAGATTTGGAGGGTTGGTTGGATTTGTAGACATTTTTTTTTTTTTTACTGTCACCATACCAACATGTCCAGATAAAGTGTGGTTTAGGGTAGAATAACGTATACTGCTTGCCCAATCTATCCTGGCTTACATTTATACATTTTTGTAATGTTTTCTTTCGAGATAAGCCATTAGATTCTTAAGTTATCAAAAGGATAAACTGAATATATTGTACAAGTTCGTACCTATCAGAAGAGCCGCAGCTCGACGTAGAGAAGGTTCTGAACTTTTGAAATACGCAGACGTAGCTTGAATGAAGAACCCCATGTGATCCTTCAAATCTGTTACCTGTAAGAGAAGTTTTTTAAAATCAGTAATATAGAAAAATAAATGACAATGATGAGATTAATACAAATCTTTACCGGATACAAAAATGACCAAAATAATTTGAGCATATATGGTTATATATATCTTATACAGTGGTACCTCAGATTATGAGTGTTCCTGTTTACGAGTTTTTCGGGTTATGAGCAGGATTTGCTCGGAAAATTTACATCGGAATACGAGCGTTGCTTCGGAATACGAGGGTGTTGATACGCGTACAGGCCGACCTAGCGCGTGGTGGCACGGCGATCGCCCCTCAGTTTACCAGAGCCTTGCGCCCAGTGACTATCCCACCTGAATTCTTCACAAGGATTTACAGTTTTTTGTTGGATTTTTGGCCATTTGAGCATAAAAGTTGTTATTATATATCTCAATATAGGTCCCAAGAAAGCCAGTGGTAAGGTTCAACCTAAGAAAATAGTTGGGAGTAGAGGCAGTAGAGGATGTCCCTTCCTCATTAAGAAAATGTGTGAAGTGTGGGAAGAACTGCAAAGTTTTGTTGAAAAAAGTCACCCAGATAAAGCTGTAGCAGGCCGTTGCATTGACCTTTTAAATGACAATGTGATGTCTTACATCACATTGTCAACCACACGGGGGTTTCTATAGGCCATTGCTCCTCGTGCCTCTTCTGAGGAGGCCAGGTTCTGGCTCGTGGTTCCCGGTAGGCCCACAGAACTCCATACACCTGACTGATGCCAAAGTCTGACATTAACACATCAGCCCAGATAGCTCCGGGGAGCCGACGGGGCTCCCCCCCCCCTCCCAGAAAACTAGATATAAAACCATTGAAAGACAATGAAATACTTAAACAAAATTTATTAGCAGTAGTCCCCGCCACACTGCTTGACTGGAGCACACTGCCGCTGGTGTGTACTCTATCAGCACCTGAAGATTCCCATACTTCCTCATTCCATCACGGCCAAAGTATGTCACATACAATATATTACCCCCTCCCCCTCCCTCCACCATGATCAGAGTGCATTGTAACAATACAAGAAAAACTGAATTTTTTGTAATAACTTTTTCTGTGCAAGGGGGACTTGTCATATTTAACTGTGGCACAGCAGAGTGGTCAAAGAGGTTTCCCGAGCCAACAACTGAATATTCCTAGGATACAATCCACAAGTCACTAACTCCTAGGTTCATATAACCTGCTAGGTGAACAGTATTATTCACCTATTCATGGGATGTCATGAATTCACATTCATGGGATGGAAATATTCCCTACATCTCGCTCTGCCTGGGACCAAGACATCACATGTCATAACCTATTTCATTAACCGCATACCCTTGCTGCATAGTGTGACGCTGAGGGGAAAAAAAGAGGTTGAAGAGTGGAATAATGTGATGATCGAGACAAACATCATTATTCTCTTCATATATTACTGCTTTTCTATTAAGTAAAACAAAGTCTTCTTTAGAACAAAAATCTGAACAAGGTTCATATGGTTAACCAAGTAATTACCTAAGTGTAATTACCTAAGTGTAGTTACAGGATGAGAGCTACGCTCGTGGTGTCCCGCCTTCCCAGCACTCTTTGTCATATAACGCTTTGAAACTACTGACGGTCTTGGCCTCCACCACCTTCTCACTTAACTTGTTCCAACCGTCTACCACTCTATTTGCGAAGGTGAATTTTCTTATTTCTTCGGCATCTGTAAGCTAGTGGTTAAGCAATTCACCCACTCACAATGGTTTGAACAATATTTCAGCTTATCACCCAAACCCCACACATGAAAAGAAAAAGTAACAACAGTTCAGTCTGTTCTGAACACTTATGTCATGTTGATAACAGTCTTGGATGGAGAGAAATGTAATCACTGTCTTTTCATTTCACGTGTGGGAGGATCAGAAGTGATCAACCACAGTCACGTTATTGTGATATTCCTTGCAGCCAGTAAGTCACAATAACATGGGTGAAAACTAGACACCAAACCCACAAATCTAAAAATAAAATATTTTATGACTTTTTGGTCTATTTGGGACCATTATTGCACGACTTGATAGTGGTCTGGGATAGGCCAAGTTATCAATTCTTTTATTTTCAGAGTTTTTGGGTTGGATAACTTCTTATCTGCTTATTTTACTCTTCAGCAAGATTTGAAAATAGAAAATATTATAAAAGGAGACAAAGGGTGATAAATACTGTAGTGCCACATAAATAAAATGTGAGAATAATAAGTACTGTCATTACTACAAGTTTTTAACTGGAATTGCCCGACTTACCATATGTTTAGTGAGATCAGTAATAAACTGCTGATAATTTAAAACACCACTAGGGATCAGGTGATTCTGGAACATTGAATTCATTGCCTCCGAGCCCAGGTGGGGACCTAGTGCCTGCAGCGCACTCTTGCACATCTAAAAAAATTACAAAATAATGAGTTATTGTACATGTCTCAAACATGGGTTAGAATACAATAATATACTAATGTACAGTATAAGAAAACGTATGACCACAAAAGGAAATGAAACCTATAACACTGCCACCATATGTTTGCGCATTATTCATCATATAATATACAAATGGTCCAGTTGATTCTTGATGCTCTTCCAATATCTTATATGGTTCAAACTTATACATCATATAAATTATACTATTAAAATAGCTTGTGCTCAATGTTTGGATTTGTGTGTTTGTATGACAACGAATGTCATTCATATCAAAGGTGTAATGTTCTCAAAATGTTATTAATTAATTAAGGCAATAAAATTTGTATTATAATGTAATTAAATTTCAACTAATTTTAATTGGTATGAAAAAAATTAACCAGTTCATACAGGAAATGCAAAATATACTTTACAATAAACCAGACTTGTTAATGATGCCACCCATCCTCCTAGCAACTATTTTTTTTTTTTTTTTTTTTTTTTTTTTTTTTTAGATATATACAAGAGTTGTTACATTCTTGTAGAGCCACTAGTACGCGTAGCGTTTCGGGCAGGTCCCTGGAATACGATCCCCTGCCGCGAAGAATCGTTTTTACAACCAAGTACACACTTTACACTTGTTGAGTTAAACAGAGGCTACAGTTAAGGATTTGCGCTCAGTTAATCCTCCTCGGCCAGGATACGAACCCATGACATAGCACTCGCGGAACGCCAGGCGAGTGTCTTACCACTACACCACGGAGACTGGTAACTATGTGCTTGAACATACACAGATAGACTGGTGCAGTCAACAATGTTCCCATTTTGTACTACCATAGCTTATTCATTTTCTAGAGGCACGAAAAATAACCCAAATCTAAACTTAAAACATTCCTAGGCCTACTATAGCGCATACATATACAATACATATTTACATGAATTTACCCGAGGGCCACTAACACTAGTGGTCTCGATGAGGGCAGAAAGTCAGCGGCTTATCAAAGGACCTCCTCCCCATTTGCCCTGGTAGTCTTTTCCATTTGGATTTTAAAATTTAACAGTTTTGGCATTTACAGCTTCGGTGGGTAGGTAGTTTCATGGCTTAATAACCCTGTGGATGAAAAAGCATCTCCTGTTCCCAGTCCTACACTGTGGCTTGTTGAGCTTGAAACTGTTTCTCCTTGTTCATGTTACATCTAACATTTTGAAGAAATTGTCTGGATCAACATCCTCCAAATTGTTCAGTATTTTGAACATTTCAATGACATCTGCCCTGTCATGCCTGGTTTGCAGTGTTATTAGCCCCGTGGTCCCTCAACCGTTCGCGATACCAGAGTTGACTTGGCTCTTGAATGATTTCTGTTACCCGGTGTTGCACCTTCTCCAGAGCAGCTGCATCTTTTTGAAGATGAGGTCTCCATGTCTGGATGCAATAATCCAGGTGGGGGCACACCAGAGAATTGTACAATTGAATGCCTATCTTATTTTACTTAAAAGTCAAAAGGTACACGTGAATATTCCTAGGGTTTGGTTAGCTTTTTTTTTTTTTTACTGCTGCTCCCACTTTTGCAACTTTCAGAGAATGATTCTGACTCCAAGGTCCCTTTCTTCATCAATCTGCTGCAAGGTAATGCTGTTAATTTGGTAGTTATAGCGTGGAGTGTTATGTCCCACATGCTTTTTAATATCAATAAATGCAAGCATTTGTCAGTCTTCTGACCATTTGTGGAGTTCATGTAGATATTTTTGTAAGGTGTCAATATAATTTTCACTTCCCACTTTACCATAAATTTTACTGTCATCTGCAAAGTTGATGATGATGTTTGTAATATTCTCATCAATGTCACCGATTAATCTTAGTTATGCTAGTTTCTTCGTTTCCTTTTCCTCTGCGAGGCGTTCTTCGCGTTTACCAGCTAGATGTTTGGTAGATCTAATTGATTTACTTGTTTGGTTGATGCCGCTGCTAGATTTGGTGGTAGATCACATTTTACCAGCTAGATGTTTGTTTTGGATCACACATAGTGCTCGTACGCCATTGCTCTCTGCACCTCTCTGAGGGGAAGGGGGGGGGATGCGGTTCTAGTCCCCAGTAAGCTAAGAAATCAAAGTGACTGATGGCCCCAAACTAATAAAGCACTAATCAGTTCGGATAGTTTCAGGGAGCCTCTGGGGCTACCCCCAAAAAAGGACGTTTCATTACATTCAACACTGGATTTTACTACCCGTGTCATCCATCTAGTTTACTGAACTAGTTCAAAATGTGCACCAAAAAGGAGACTTTCTTCTTTTTGGCACATATTTTGAACGAGTTCAGTAATGACCTTTTTGAAATTTCCCAATGATGCCTCCATGTCATGATCATCTATCAGCTCCCTCCATGTAGTGTTTTATAATTCCTCTCTCATTCCTTGATAGTTTCCTCGATGGTAATCTCGAAAGTCATCATCCTGGACCTTTATGCGAGTTTCCGTAATTGTATTACATCTTAGAATATTGTGATCACGCGATGGGGTCAGCTTTTTCCCCTACATGAATTTGATAGATCATGCCCTCTTCTGGTGTTAGCACAAGGTCCAGAATGCTGTTACCTCGTGTGGGCTCTACCACATGTTATATGATAAAGGAGTCATGCACTAGATCAAGAAATTATTTTCATTCTGCTTGCGATTTTAGATTTACCCAATCTATTGTCTCATGGTTAAAGTTGCCCATTCTAAGAGTTTGGGTTTGTGATGCAGTATTTATCACATTTATTTAGATCGGTAACTTTTGCTGGTGTTGCTGTGTCAGCCCCGTAGCATACTTCCACTGTCAGTATATTGCACCATACAGTACAGACTGAGGATCCCATGGTGTTTAGTTCCTCATTGGTGTTTGCATTGAAGTCCTCTTTCACATAAATTTGACACCACCTGCTCTTGTTGTTCTATCTTTTCTGAAAGTTGGACGAGACCCTGGGAAGTGGAATTCCCCTTTCAATAATGTCCTCGCGTCCCCATGTTTCACAGATGCCATTGATGTTGGGATTCTTGGCCTCGGCACATGCACACAATGCAACAAATTTATTCACTAGGCTTCTGGCATTTGTGTAGAAATAATTTAAATTTCTTATGTTGTTCCTATTGGGCCGAGATATAGCTCCTGGATTCTGTACATTACTATTCTGTTCATTGTCACTCCAGTTTTGTGCCCGTTTGTCTTCCGAGATATATAGGGTTAATTCCGCCCGACTGGGTGACGGACTATGGCATCTCCTCCATCTACAGTACTATCAAGATCGCCCATCCTCTCCTGATCTTTTGCTTTGAATCTTTGTATGTGTCTGAGTTTATTAACTCCTTTAGCTTGCCTCTTAGTACTGTCATATTTTTGCTATTCAACTGTAAGGTCTGGGGAGATATAGACTTGGTTATACCCTTTAAGATCTTTCAGTTTATGCGCACTGTTGAGTATCCTCCTTTTGTGTTCAAAGTTTGCAATGGTTATGCGTACCAGATTCGCTTCGGGAATCGCTTCGGGGAAACCTCCCAACATTGGACAGACTAAGATACCCCTCATTTCTCATCAGTTTCACTAACATTTCCTCAATGATTTCCTAATCATTCCTCCCCTCTTCTTTTGCAAGGTTCCTTATTACGAGGTTGCTTTTTCATCCTATATTAGTCATTTATTAATACTGTAAGTGCTTGCATAGGTTAGGTTTGGTTATTCAGTTACTTTTCCATGTTTTTAGTAACATTTGGGGTACTTCAATAATAAAATGTAAACTCTTTGGTCTGACAGTCCATATTTGTATGTTTAGTCAAATAGTTGTGATAAGTACTGTCATTACTGGAGGTTGGGCTGAATTGTGCGTTGCTGTATTATGCTAATAAAGCTTTCATTTCCACTGTCAGAGACAGGAGGAAACCTGGATTTTGACTTATCGAGGGCCCCTCATCCTAAGCCAACTACTGACCTTTCCCAGGATGCAACCCACAACAGTTCTTACATTCTTGTACAGCCACTAGCACGCAGAGCATTTCAGGCAAGTTCTTAATCCTATGTTTCCCGGAATATGACCCCGCCAAATCATTTAACAACCAGGTACCATTTTACTGTTGGGTTAAACAAGAGGCTACAGTTAAGGATTTGCACCCAGTAAATCCTCCACGGCCAGGATATGAACCCAGGACAAAGCGCTCGGGAAACGCCAGGTGAATGTGTTAACCACTACACTATGGGGACATGTGAACAGACATATCAGGGGAAAGGAAACATGCCCAACCATTTCTGTCCTGCCCTGGGACTTAACCCAGTCCCCTCAATTGTGAGCTGTGGACATAGACTACTGTGCTACAGGACATTTCTCAGATGATCCCGGACACTTTCCTTGTGTCGGTTCTCTCCTGAGATTTAGTGGTTTGCTTGAGGGCTGCATTTGAGTGCAAGTGGCTCAAGTTAGGGAAGCCAGTGTTTGTGAAGTGCTGTTATCTGGTGGTGGTCAGGAGTAGCAGCCAGGCAAGACAACCACAAATTTGCAAGAATTTGGGATACCTGAATTCTTGACTGTATCCAGAATTGTACTGAATCCAGAATTGTATTGTATCCAGAATTGCCAAACGTCTCCAGAAATTGCAAGAATTTTGGATACAATTAACAGCCCAAGAATTACCAGTTTTGTAGAATTCCAATTCTACAAACTGATAATTCTTGGGCTACCAATTGTCTGAATGGGTTTCTGAGTTTTTATGAGTATGCTAACTGGCAGTCATTCTAGACTGCATTGAATATTCTCGAAAGTATTCCCTAGCCACAGAAATGACCCGACTGTTGTCAAGTCGGATAGGAGTTAAAAGATAGGAGAGATGGTGCAAGATTATTCGTAATTGATATACTAGGCAATGCCATGATGCCATCAGTAGCCCCGACTGTGATGTCACCGACAATTCTGAAAGGTTACTGCTCCTTATTAAATGACATCGTCCGCATTAGTCTATACTGACCAGAAGACAGCTTCCAGTAACCCTCAAGAACCATATATGATTCAACAGAGATACAGTACTGTAATTCCTCTGTCAATGATGCAATGTACTGCTTGCCTGACAAAGTCATGAGCCTTAAAATGAAGGTGCACAGGACACAGCTGTGGGAGTGGCAGAATTGTAGTACAGAAATGAGTAAAAGCAGGCCATCTGGTTTGTAAAGTTTTCAAAACAGTTCTAGTGTTACCAACATAACTTGTTAATTCTAAGAATATATCATTTGAATCACAACCTACCACAACTGTTGGATGATGAGGATCTGCTAAATGAATTAAAGATGCCAGCAGATGCAGATGGAGTTGTTCTCGGAACTCTTCGGTGCCTCCAACTGATGCAGCCAAACCCCGTAAAACGCCCAAGCCCGCTTCACGCACTTCACCCGATGACTAGAGAAATACAAATTTTAATATACTGTACTATGCTCCCTTTGAATCTTATTTCCTATACTACCAGTTTCACCTTACAGTACAGTATAGTACTTCCACCTACATTTTTGTCAAACAGTGGAAATAATTAATTTAAAACTACACTGCTGTCAAGTAAATAGCTTAAAAACATGAAATAAAATACTGTACACAATGAAAATCACAATAACAATCAATCTATGAATGAATATCGAGGCTGTAGGACAATCAAATCTGCACCCCCGATCAACTAGGGGTCCAGTCAATAGTGTGCGCGCCTGAGGCATTGTACAGCCTCAATACTGTATTTATTAATGAAATAAAATATTTGTATTTAAAATCCAATTTGTGAACTTACTTTCTCTGAGAAGAGTCTGATCCTGATTAGGAGCGTAGGCGTGTGCTGAAGCACAGTTTCCTGTGGGAGACGTGGGAGGAGAGCAGCAAGTCCCCTCAAGGCCTCGAGAGCTACCTGTGTTTCTAGTCCAGTTCCATCCGAGCCACAGCTGTCACGCTGGTCCGTTGCTTCCACCAGAGCTGTTATGATCTCTGTTAACTTTTCCGACACCTGTAAGATATTTTAACTAAAATACTCTACTATATAGTATTGGTAAGCCACGTAAATAGTCACATAAGACACCTAGACCATTTGCCTTCCTCCCCCTAGTTCCTGCGTGTCACTTGAGGCTGCATTCTCTACACAGCCACCCTCTCTCACTTGTGGTACACCGTTCTTTGACACACACAATACAACACATTCTCCTGCTCTCAGCATTTTGTACTCTCGACCATAGTCAGGAACGTTAATTAAGGAACAGGCAGAGTTATTGACATGTGTGTCTAAATTTAACAATTTCAACACCTCATCACATCTGTCCCTTCACCTTCTGCTGGTCCCTCGGTGCCCTCCTGGCCAGCATGCTAAAGGCAGCCTCCCACCTCCAGAACAAATGTGGCTATCAGTATTATGAACACACATTCTACCACAACACCTGCTACAAGACACTTATCCAACTTGATCCAGCCTAGAATAATCAACCTTGCCAACTGCTTTTAGCTTCTTTTGACAGTTACACAGCCTCCTTCACATTTCCAGAATCACCAGGAAATTTAAGTCCAGTCCCTTAAATGATCATTGTCCTTGGCTCATTACATTTCCCATCTCTCCCAGTAGCATCTCTGCATTTCATTCCCTCATCAAGCTGATCTCGACTTGGTTGCCCTGGCAGTGTTATTTTGCTTGCTCTGTGTTACTATGAGCACCTTTTAATATATGTTTTCTCAGATGGGCTACTACTAAGCAGGCCTCCTTCCTCTTCCCCCATGTCTGTGCCTATTCATTGTGCATCTTTGGGACTTTATTGACCACAGTCAGCAGAGCCATGGTCGAATAAACATCTATGTTTTCTTGGTGGTGTCTCGGTCTATTGCTAATTTGCTTTCCTGGAGGCCAGTCTTTGCCCCTGGTTCACTCTCCCATTTTAGTTCACACTCAGTGACCAAGTTAACATTTTTCTCATGATTACTCCACAGTAGGATCATTTACTTGGTACATTCACCTTTAGCCTCGTTTTGTGTGTGCGCCCATGACAATAGCTTCGATTCTCATTTATCACATGTTCCTTGCTCCCTGCACTCTCAGATGTTTCACTCTTCCTATTTTACTCCAAGTCCTTTGTTCTGCTGTGTCTTAGGACACAAGTGAGGAGGAACTCTAACAGTTTGATCATATATTCTTTCACAGCTAACCTGGCATTCTAAAACTCTTAAGTAATTACCTAAGTGTAATTACCTAAGTGTAGTTACAGGATGAGAGCTACGCTCGTGGTGTCCCGTCTTCCCAGCACTCTTTGTCATATAACGCTTTGAAACTACTGACGGTCTTGGCCTCCACCACCTTCTCACTTAACTTGTTCCAACCGTCTACCACTCTATTTGCGAAGGTGAATTTTCTTATATTTCTTCGGCATCTGTGTTTAGCTAGTTTAAATCTATGACCTCTTGTTCTTGAAGTTCCAGGTCTCAGGAAGTCTTCCCTGTCGATTTTATCAATTCCTGTTACTATTTTGTATGTAGTGATCATATCACCTCTTTTTCTTCTGTCTTCTAGTTTTGGCATATTTAATGCTTCTAACCTCTCCTCGTAGCTCTTGCCCTTCAGTTCTGGGAGCCACTTAGTAGCATGTCTTTGCACCTTTTCCAGTTTGTTGATGTGCTTCTTAAGATATGGGCACCACACAACAGCTGCATATTCTAGCTTTGGCCTAACAAAAGTCATGAACAATTTCTTTAGTATATCGCCATCCATGTATTTAAATGCAATTCTGAAGTTAGAAAGCATAGCATAGGCTCCTTGCACAATATTCTTTATGTGGTCCTCAGGTGATAGTTTTCTATCTAGAACCACTCCTAGATCTCTTTCTTTATCAGAATTCTTTAAAGATTTCTCACATAATATATAGGTTGTGTGGGGTCTATGTTCTCCTATTCCACATTCCATAACATGACATTTATTAACATTAAATTCCATTTGCCAAGTGGTGCTCCATATACTTATTTTGTCCAGGTCTTTTTGAAGGGCATGACAGTCATCTAAATTTCTTATCCTTCCTATTATCTTAGCATCATCAGCAAACATGTTCATATAATTCTGTATACCAACTGGTAGATCATTTATGTACACAATAAACATCACTGGTGCAAGAACTGAACCCTGTGGTACTCCACTTGTGACATTTCTCCATTCCGATACATTGCCTCTGATTACTGCCCTCATTTTTCTATCAGTCAGAAAATTTATCATCCATGTTAGAAGCTTACCTGTCACCCCTCCAATATTTTCCAGTTTCCAGAACAACCTCTTATGTGGAACTCTGTCGAAAGCCTTTTTTAGGTCCAGATAGATGCAGTCAACCCAACCATCTCTTTCCTGTAATATCTCTGTGGCTCGATCATAGAAACTGAGTAAATTCGATACACAGGATCTTCCAGATCGAAAACCATACTGTCTGTCTGATATTATATCATTTCTCTCTAGGTGTTCTACCCATTTAGTTTTGATTAGTTTTTCCAATACTTTCACTATTACACTTGTCAATGATACAGGTCTATAATTGAGGGGGTCTTCCCTGCTGCCACTTTTGTAGATTGGAACTATGTTAGCCTGTTTCCACCCGTCTGCTACGATTCCTGTACACAGGGATGCCTGAAAGATCAGGTGAAGTGGAATGCTGAGCTCAGATGCACATTCTCTCAGAACCCATGGTGAAACGCCATCTGGGCCAGCTGCTTTGTTCTTACCGAGCTCCTTGAGCATTTTTTCCACTTCGTCTCTAGACACCTCTATGTGTTCTATGTTGTTCTCTGGAATTCTTATTGTATCTGGTTCCCTAAAGATTTCATTTTGTACAAACACACTTTGGAACTTTTCGTTTAGTGTTTCACACATTTCCTTTTCATCTTCCGTGAATCTATTTCCCATTTTCAACCTCTGAATATTATCCTTTACCTGCAATTTGTTGTTTATGAATTTATAGAATAGACCTGTTTCTGTTTTACATTTGTCCGCAATCCCTTTTTCAAAATTTCTTTCTGCCTCTCTCCTCACTGCCGTGTAGTTGTTTCTCGCATCTTTGTATCGCTGGTATGTTTGGGGGTTCGGCCTCTTCCTGTATTGATTCCATTTTTGTGTCTTTCGGTCTCTAGCCCTCTCGCAATTTCTATTGAACCAATCCTGTTTCCTAGTTCTGCATCTCTGTTTTGGTATAAATTTTTTTGTGCCTTTATCATATATTTCACAAAACTTGCCATACATCTCATTCACTTCCTTGCCTAGCATCAAGTCTGTCCAATTATACTCACTAAAAAAATTTCTAAGGTCACCATAATGTCCTCTCCTGAAGTCTGGTTTTTCAACTGCTTCAACCTCCTTATTTTCTTCCAGCTTATAACGCATTGCATACTTTATTCCTAAAAAGACATGGTCACTTTTACCCAAGGGAGGAAGGTACTGAATGTCAAATATCTCTTCCTCCTTCCTGGTAAATATCAAATCTAGCATGGAGGGAACGTCCCCTTCCCTCATCCTCGTAGCTTGTTTAACATGTTGATACAAGAATGTTTCCAGGATGAGTGTGTGTGTGTGTGTGTGTGTGTGTGTGTGTGTGTGTGTTTTACCTTTCCCATAGCTCGCCGCATTCTTCAACTGGGCCTCCTTTATCCAATTTGTTTTAATCCTTACAAGTTCTTTAGTTATTTCAAGAAATTCCACCATAAGATACCCCACCGATTCCATGATTGACTAGGAGCCAGTCATCGAGGTTGGCTGGAACCCCTATCACTTAATCAAGGTGAATCAGTTGGACACTATCACACACAATACAATTGAGACGGTTGATGAGGAATCCAACAACAACTGAGAAGGTTGTTGTTGGAGGAACATGCCTGCTGCCCTGGGAACATGAGCCAAACATAGGACACACAGCAACCCCGTCTCCCTGCAATGTCCCTTTCCTCTCTATCCCCACACTCCATCTTAACGCGTCATCTGCTCCATCTTCTCTACTCTTCATGCTCTCCCCTACTCCTCATGCTTCCCCCTACTCCTCAATGCCCCCCTCCCCCCATCATCACATTTTCCAGATTTCCTTCCCAAAACCTGGGCTCTAGGCGACTTGAACCGCGGACTCCCCGCATGCAGACCAAAGCTCTATCGACTGAGATATTGAGTAGTTTATTCCTACGGATGTGTGGATGACAATTTAGATGACGTGGGCGTGGATCACTAATTCCTCAAAGCTTCAGTAGTAGTCAGGGAAAGTAAAAAAAATTCCAGTTTGGAAATAGTATGCTGCTTCTGGAAACTTTCCATGTTAAGACTACTCAATAGCTCGGTCGATCGAGTTTCAGCCTCACACGTGGAGTCCACGGTTCAAGTCTCTCGGAGCCCAGACGAATGGAATGTTTATGTCCACAGAAGTGTGGGTGACAATCCAGATGTCTACTTCGTTCTCTCCATGTGGAGGGTAACATGTGAATGATGGTATGTGCATATGTCTATTGTACCCTTAAAGGTTAAGACTAGGCTCTTGTATTTTGTGGTATATATTATTTGGGTGAATTTCTATGTGAATGTGGGGGGTGTATAAATGTAGTGGGCAAGTGTCGTGGGTTCCTACCTAACCTAGCATTACTTATCCAACGGTATCAATGGTAAGCAACATCTAGCCCTAGAGGCTCCACCTCTCTTCTAATATACCACAGGGTGCTTTTACACTTCCTAATGCTATAATGCCCCATTAAATATTCATGCTTGTAACTCTGCATTAGCCATTAGTGAAGGTGCAGACAGACTAGGATTATTGCAATATCATTAGAGAACTTGAATACAAAACAAGTATGAAGAATTGAGAATTACAGTAAATCCAGAAAAAGCAACGAATGGGCAATTTGAAGTTGTGGAAAGATATTATTTACAATGACCAAAATAATTATAACATGCAGTGGATATGAAGCATGATCAGAAAAGCATAAATATTATAATGGAAACATGAAATGAAAAGACCTAAATTTGATAACAAGACTTTACAAGCATCTAAAGAAAGCAGAATACATAGAAATAAGTCTGGTTGGATAAAAATAAGAACTGCCTTGTACGGGCTGATAGGAACTGCCTCGTACGGGTCCGATTTTCCCCGATTTAACCGAGCCGAGAAAACACCTTTTTAATATTTCGTCCTAGGGCTTCTGGCTGGCTCAGTTCCGAGTGAGCAACCATGGGTGGCGCACGCGCCTCTGGCTCCCAAACACCTGTCCGATGTGGTGTTGAAAGATTGCTCTCTGTCTGTGAAATTCAGACCTTATTGTTTGAAGAACATAAGGGTCATGATATTGATGAAGCTAGGCACAATAAGGACCTAACACAAAGGTCGGATACTAGTGATACAGCACCGATGAGTATGATACAGCGAACTTGTTCAGTAACAGCGGAGCGCCAGTAGTAGCTGAACGCCACTCATGCTCACTCGTGTTATCTCCAATTTTTATAGATGATACATAGATGAATCATTTTCTAGGTTCAGTGATGATGCCTCCAATACAAGTAGCATAGATGAACAGTGTTAGCGGCTTCCATGGTGGTGTTTTACATAGATCTTTTCAAGAATGGCTGAATCTCTTCCAAAATACCCAAGTCTCTTCCTCAATACCTGAATCTCTTCCAGAATACCTTACAAAGCAATCTTTTCAAGACTACCTTACACTTCACAAGCTTGGCTACATACCACCTACAGGTACTAAAGCCAAGGGTGTACGCGAGTGCACTATTTGCAAGCATTCAGAATGAAGAAACAGGAAGCAAAAATCTGTTTGTACCTGGAGCAATGAGAGCGAAGTCACGCTGTGTACCATCTTCTTGAGGTTATCTTGAGATGATTTCGGGGCTTTTTAGTGTCCCCACGGCCCGGTCCTCGACCAGGCCTCCACCCCCAGGAAGCAGCCCGTGACAGCTGACTAACTCCCAGGTACCTATTTACTGCTAGGTAACAGGGGCATTCAGGGTGAAAGAAACTTTGCCCATTTGTTTCTGCCTCGTGCGGGAATCGAACCCGCGCCACAGAATTACGAGTCCTGCGCGCTATCCACCAGGCTACGAGGCCTGGTGGATAGTACTGAGTGTGTAATACAGTGTGTTACTGTGTAAATAGTGTGTGAAACTGTACATATTGAAATTTTAGTGAATTTTGAACAAGTAATATTGCAACAATAAACACTTATTGTGGACACATTACTGACATATGTACCAGTTTTATGGAATATTATGAACATTCTACTGTATAAAAATTGTAAAAGGACACAAATGTGCATCATATACAATAAAAAAAAAAATGCATTGGAAATACATAAAACAAATAATTGAAAATATATTTGTGGCAACTCGCGGTGCTTGAATGGCCCACGCGACCGCCTCTGGGAGGTTCATGCACGGGCAACCAGCCCGTGATGGCGTCACACGCCCACTTCTCCACAGCCAAAGAGGAATTTTTTAGTTTTTTTTTACATGTACCTGTTCAGGGAATGGAATTTATCCTTTTCTAAAGATCAAAGAATTTTTTGCAAACACTTGATTCTCGGCGCACAGGGGGAATGTCCCAATAAACGAAGTACATCACAGTGGTTAATGCCAACCAGAAAGTGGAAGAGAGAGAGAGAGGTGGGGGGGGATGTTACTTAGATTTAAAGATTACCATCTTGGGCAATAATTTATGCAGGTGCATCACACACAGAACAATGTGCACATTACATAGAACCAGCCAAAATCAAAGTCAACCTTGAGTACTTTATCAAACTAGGCAAAGATGCACTCTCAAACTCACAAGAGCTAACAAACAGTGTCACTGCTCATCATGACTTACCCAAAGCCATTGAGGGAAAAAGCACTAGAATAGAAATAAAATACACAATATAAAAAAATAATAATTCTATGACCAAATTTAAAATTAGAAATGCAAAATGTGCCAGCAACCAAAAGTTATAAAATGCAGATTATTTAATAAAGTAAACAACCTTGAAACAGAGATAATTTTGTTCCCACTATTTTATGTACTGGTATTCCTCCTCTTAGAATTTTCAGCATTTTGTTAATTTATTAAAAATAAGGTATATGGTTCAAAATTATCTCTTAATGTGAATTAATACTTAACTTAATTTGTGCAATTATCAATTGCATTTCAATAACATAATCCATAAAATATTATGCACACTTAGCAAGCAAGCATTATTCTACCCAAAAGTTCCAGCATCAGTCCTTTGAAGATTGCTAGGTTACAGTATATATTTTGTAGACCTTCCACTGTTGTTCACATCAAGGGATGTTTTCATACATAATCGAAGTGTGGGGGCTGGCAACACTGCGCGTTTCAACACATGGGTTTAGGAGAGCAATTCAGTACATAGTATGTGCTTACCTATGAATGACTATGGGAGAGCGAGATCAAGTTCTTTATGTCCCCTGCCTCCTTGCTATTTATAACTGGCATGCTAATTAACTTAACACTAACATAGCATTTCTGAGCATTAGAGAAACCTGGAGCTAGCATGGTCCTGTTTTGAACAATTGTTTCAGCTCTGTCCACAGAACCTTCGTGAAGAGAACATGTCACCTGCTGCTACAGCAACACACAACCAACTCACAAACCCGGCACCTCCTCAAAGGGAATATTCATGGATTATTCTAAGATATTAGCAATTTCTAAATTGTTTGCAATGAAAATAAGGTATCCCTGAATGATTCTGCAACATGAGTACTGTAATACAGTCGGGTTCATTCTCGACAAGAAATCGAGAATACCGGGTTTCAATCCTGGGCTGGACACAAGTGGTTATGTGCATTTCCCATCTTGAGGTTATCTTGAGATGATTTCGGGGCTTTAGTGTCCCCGCGGCCCGGTCCTCGACCAGGCCTCCACCCCCAGGAAGCAGCCCGTGACAGCTGACTAACACCCAGGTACCTATTTTACTGCTAGGTAACAGGGGCATTCAGGGTGAAAGAAACTTTGCCCATTTGTTTCTGCCTCGTGCGGGAATCGAACCCGCGCCACAGAATTACGAGTCCTGCGCGCTATCCACCAGGCTACGAGGCCCGTAGCCTGGTGGATCACCAAATTTGCCCCCATCACCAAATGACCTGTTCACATAGCAGTAAATATTTATCTAGGAGTTTGTCAGCTTGTTGTGGGGTTGCATCCTTGAAGGGGGTTGGGGGGGTTGGGGGGGTTGGGTGGAGAGGGAAGAGGAGGGGGGGGGTTGGGTGGAGAGGGAAGAGGAGGGGGGGGGTCAGTAATTCGACCCTGTGGGGGGGGGGGCCCATCCATATAAGCTGCCAGTATATATAGACTGGCTGCCTGTCTTCCGACACAATGAATTATCACATTATTGTATTATACAATGATGTCGTAAGTGGTATATAAAGTCTACCTTTTGTCGCTATTAATATAAATGTTTTTGTTTTAGCTAAAATATTAGTTTTATTTTGCTTAATTTGTGTGTGTTGTTTGTCAGTGACTGCAAGCACAATGTGTAAAACTGTATTAGAGAATGTTTATGCCATTGTGTATAAAGTTTTCCATTTCATTTTTGTGAGGGTAGTGTGTGTGCACCGACCCACTACCACAAAGGGGATTCGGACTTAACCCACTGAGGGTGTGTGTTGTGTAATTACCTAAGTGTAATTACAGGATGAGAACTACGCTTGTGGTGTTCCGTCTTCCCAGCACTCTTTGTCATATAACGCTTTGAAACTACTGACGGTCTTGGCCTCCACCACCTTCTCACCTAACTTGTTCCAACCGTCTACCACTCTGTTTGCTCATGAGCACCCATCTCGCTAGTTGATCTGGTGAGTGATAAATGATTTCCATGTTATATTATGTCCCATTTACCGTCTTTATATAAATGTACAGTAATGCACCCACACATTTGGTTTAAGTCCCGCCAACTCAAAATAATCGTGGCGGTCGCCGATTGTTCTCTCTTTCGTGTTTGAGGTGTGTATATATATATACCTTACATTTGTTCTGCATTTCAAATTTAAAATTAATGTACATGTACTGTTAGTAAGGAAATGGGGAAGCTTAGTTTATTTTGATAAAAGATTATTAGCCCCTCCTACTCCTTACAATGACAGAGTGGTGGCAAGTATCATCACTGCGGTTACATAGATTACCTGCAAAGAATTTTTATATTTTTTCTTTCATAGTCTGGCCTGGGTCTAGCTTTCCTTGGCAACTGCCTGGTCTATGAGACTGTTTGCTCTGTAGGTCTGCAGGGCCACAGTTATCACAGCCAGGCTAATATGGTAATTTCTGCAGAAATTTGTCAAGTTCTTGTAATTCAAGTGATATTTCATAGTTGGAGAATAAAAGTTGTGGACCTCTGTTGTTTACTGCATGTTCTCCACTTGTGCTAATGGCAGGGAAGGCAGGACGCACCCTAACTGCTACCTTCACACTCTTTCATGCTCTTAAAGAAAGACAACTATTCCCCCACTTCACCCGTAATCTGCATATTTCCATAACTTAATGAAATGAAATATAATAATAATGAAATTGGGATAATGAAATTTGTAGTTTTGAAAGATAATTGATAATTTGAAAGTGTAGTTACTGGATGAGAACTATGCTGGTGGTGTCCCGTCTTCCCAGCACACACTCATATAAAACATTGAAACTACTGATAGTTTTGCCTTCCACCTTCTCACTTAACATGTTCCAAGCACCAACCACTATGTTTGCGAAAATGAATTTTCTTATACTGTACTGTATGTCTTTTAAAGAAATATTTCTATTTTACATTTATATTTTTTAAAGCATTTTCATATACATCGTAATTTGTAGGTTGTGTGTGGTCTATTTTCTCCTATTCCACATTCCATACCATGGTATTTTATTCACATTAAATTCCATTTGCCAAGTGGTACTCCATATATTTATTTTGCCCAGGTTTTCTTAACCCCTTAACTGCGCGGCCTCCAAATATGACACCCCCCCCCAGTGCGCAGGAAATAAATTATCTGAAAAAATTATTTTCTGTTTTGAAAGTGTCAAAAACCCTTCCCCGAGTATGGGTATAGTAACAGAAGGTCGAAATTGTATGTACTTTGGCTGCTATGGGGTCCATAAGTTCGTGTGTGACATCATCATTCCCTGGTCGCCCGTGGCGTATGCCCCCAGGGCAGGTAGGGCGCTCGGGGCAGGGTGCATGGGTTGCCGCGAATATATTTTTGTTCATTTTATGTGCACAGTTCCAAATACATTTTATATGCTTTTACATGCCAGTCCTATGTATAATGAACATGTACACTATATTATGGCAGTAGAACATCTGTACTGTCCGAAGACACTGTGTTACGTGCATGACACTTGTGTACACATATTAGGCGCATATTTCCATTGTATCATGCTATGTATATATACAGTCTATTTACACACACTATAAACATTCACCATCAACACACTCGGAACTCTGCGAGGTCAGCTGCCACACCCTCACTCCTCCAACATCCCATCTCTCCCTCACTCCACCAACATTGCTCCTCCCACCATACTGCTATTGTTTGTATTACACTATTTACACACAAGTATACTTATCTACATGTTTTATTCAGCAGAACTATGCAAGTAAGCCGGTATTGTGTCCAAACTTTACAGTGGCCACCATACACTGCATGAGAAATCACACAGCAGCCAACAGACGACGCTACGATTACGTCACCTCCCTCACCAAAATAGCTCCTCCCAACATACTCTTGTTGCTGTTCCCTGGAAACACAAACCGAAACTGTCTCTATTTTCCGCTTGTTACAACTTGTAATAAAGTTGTTACATCTTGGCTTAACGTGTTTATGACGTATTAGAACGTTGTTACAACTTGCTATATTGGTTGTTATAACTGGTTAGGAGGTGTTAAAACTTGTTCGAACGTTGTACCAACGTCGTAGTTTCGGTGTGTGTTTGGAGGGTTATTACACTATATACACACACTGTATATACCCATGTACAAATGTGTTCACCATAGAGAACCACTAAGCTAGTATGAGCAAAACAAGAGTGGCTGCCCCACACACAGTGAGGCTACCTCGATTCTCTCCCTCGCTCCCTCACCACAATTCCTCCTCCCACAATACTACGCACGGTGCTTTTTATCACCACAATCATGCTGTTAACACAATACTGGTCACTAAATCCTATAAATACATAATTGACCTCAAGTTTATTTTGTAAAGGAACCTAAGAAGTCATTTGAAGATTCCTAGATGGACGAAATAATGCTGTGATGCTGTGGCTAGTGCTGTGAACATCGTGAACAGCATTGAATCACTAATATTTGAACATTGCACACAGTCATTATCACACTCAGGCTCTTCTGTAATACTATCATGGCTAAATAATACAAGCTATATTTTTTTTTACATTATTAGGCGATGCTGTGGTCACAAGCTGAACAGCAGTGCTGTGAGCTCATGCTGCGTGCGCCGGCCTTGGTTGCATACCGAGTACTGAGGCTCTCACACCCGGGAATATGGACCACGATTTTTTTCAAAGATGGCATCTGTTTACAAAAGCCCAGAGAAAGCTGATGTGAACCCCATGTAGCCGCGGGAGTTTTGAATGGAACGTGAAAAATACAAATACCCGGAGGTGCGTAGCGCACCCCAGACGTGGGCCTGCATGCGTGTTGCGCAGTTAAAGGGTTAAAGGGCATGATCATCTTTTAAGTTTCTTATCTTCCCAATTATCTTAGCATCATCAGCAAACATGTTCATATAATTCTGTATTCCTTCTGGTAGGTCGTTTATGAAGACAATGAACATTACCAGTGCAAGAACTGAACCCTGTGGTACTCCACTCATGACATTTCTCCAGTCCGATACATTGCCTCTGATTACTGCCCTCATTTTTCTGTCAGAAAACTGTTCATCCATGTTAAAAGCCTCCCTGTCACTCCACCAGTATGTTCCAGTTTCCAGAATCACCTCTTATCTGCAACTTTGTCAAATGCCATTTTTGGTCCAGGTAGATGCAGTCAACCCAACCATCTCCATTTATTGTTAATTATAATAATAAATAATAATAATTAAATAAATGTTTATTCAGATCAAAGTACACACATACAAGATGAGTTACAAACAGAATGTTAGATTTCTAGATAGAGCTAGTACATACAGTACTATGCCTAAAGCCACTAATACGTGGCTTTAAAACGCGTTTCGGGCAAGAAACGCTTTTCGTTTTTTCCAATATTTTAATTATTACACTTGTTAATGATACAGATCAATAATTAAGAGGGGGGTTAATAATTATGAATGATATTCTCCCGGCTGGTGGCAAGTATGATTAACGCTAAATGTAAAGTGTTCATAGGCTATCGCTTCTTACGCCACTCTAAGGGGGCCATGTTCTGGCTTATGGTCCCCAGTAGTCAAATAGAACTCTTCTACTGATGGCACCTAGTAGTGTGGCACTGATCAGTGTACTGTATGATATCTTCAGGAAGCCTCCGAGGCTAACCCCATAAAAGGTTGATTTGACACACAAAACATTAAAATATTAAAGAATTATCTCTATCTATTAGCAACTGATAACAAATATTACAGCCCAAGACAAACTATAGTCATGGTTAGATAACATCTATGCAGAGTGAGCTGCCAGTGTTGAGCATTCAGTACTGTTAAATCGGTAAGAGTGAAGTGCACGGTTCATCATTAAACAAAAGCAGTATTACACGAGTATAAAGGATGCTGAAGGAGTGATAGTGCAACATAAGGACCAGCACTGAAGGAGTGAGTGATGTCTAAATTTTAAATCTCTCAGTGAATCATGGTAAAGGTCAGTAGCAAAAATTCTGTGAAGTATTAAACTAGTAAATAGAATCTGAATGAAGTACATGCTCAAGGAGCATTATGTGGGAGTAGTAACAAAAGTGTCATCAAGGAAGGATGTATATAACTTCAAAGCAGCAGAGACAGAACATCATACAGTTCATGTTGTCCATGATGCAGGAACCCTGCATCATGGACAACACTGTGAGAGGACCTTTACAAACATATTTACTCAGAAGCGGAATGGTCCATTTGAGTGTAATACATCTACAGGCTGGAACCAGGACTATTCAACAAAGCAAAGTGCTAATTTAGTTTATTCCAATGGCTCTCCAACCCGTCCTCTCACCCAATGTGCATATATTTTGATGGAAATGATAAGATGGAAACCAACGCTGGTTTCCAGGCACCAGGCAACAGGCAAATGTTGCTAGATGAGGCAGCTGAACCATATGCAACATTTATCACATTGTGGAATAAACACATCCACATGATCTCATTGATTTTGTCTAAATTGATGAATATATCGGTGGTCGATGACATTCATTTGTGATGCATCACACCAGGACACCATCACATGCGTCTGTTCAACATTTCTCTGTCCAGTGCACATTATCATGACTTGTGAGTTCTATAGTAACTACTTGTCTACTGAAGGTGCCCATTAGACACAGAAATATATGTATCCCATATCAGATTTTTTTAGTCCCAGTTAATATCAACAGCCTTGGGTCTATCCTTGCAGTTATGAATCCAATTTTATACCACAAACATAGCAAGAGCACCGGACATGTTCTAGGGACTTGCCGATGTCAAGAACAACTTCACCTGGGACCCTGATCACCAAGCTTTCTTCAAAATAATACTGATAGTTCAATCATTCATCCCAGTTCTTGCACACTGTCTTTAAGACAACATCTTGTCTTTAAAGATTTGGCAATACATTCCACCAGCAGTATGGATATACTGTATGTGGAGAAGTATTCAGCACAGTTCCAGTTATCTAATTGACATTGTTACTTGGTACAGCATGGTGGCCTGACAGCTGAGTGGACAGCACTCGGGATTCGTAGTCCTGAGGTTCCGGGTTCGATCCGTGGTGGGGGCGGAAACAAATGGGCAAAGTTTCTTTCACCCTGATGCTCCTGTTCACCTAGCAGTAAATAGGTACCTGGAAATTAGACAGCTGCTAGAGGCTGTTTCCTGGGGTGTGTGTAACAAAATGGAGGCCTTGTCGAGGATCGAGCCGCGGGGGGCACGAAACCCCAAAATCATCGAGATAACCTCAAGAAGATAGCATGGTGGAAGTGGAACTACTGGCAGCAATATGGGCCATGAATATGTTCTGCACATTTCTACTAGGTCTACACACTACAACACTAAAATGTTGACTGATCATGAAATGCCAATTCTGAACGAGAATACTGTACTGTATATGAATTGGACTTGTGTACATTACCCCTACTGTCAGGAAATGTAGCGCAAGTTAATATTTACTTCATAGGGGGCAGAATACATATAGTCATACTGGATAGTATATGCAATATACAACAGCTGCACAAGAGGAAGTAAATGCTTTGCCTTCCAGTGTGAGAGAGCTGGCAAGACTGACAACAATCCCTCATGTTCAATATATGGTCAAGGAAATTATATATCTGTATTTAAAATTACTTAATTTAATTTACTTAAGTAAAAATTAACTTGCTCATCAACTCACTTGATCATTTTGAAGATGAGCAAAGTTGGCCAAGCCTCGTACTGCCAATCGCCGAACGTGCACAGAGCGGTCGTTCAGTCTTGATAATAAGCCATTAGTAATGTTCTCCAATAGTTCATAATTTCCACCACATTTCTCTGCTATTAACTGAAATGTTAAAAAAAAAATGATAATTAAATTACATTGGGCAGTGATAATGGTTATTATCCAGCCTCCCTTGTTGTACCACGAATTCTTCCTGCCTCATCTTTTATTTGATATATTAATCATCTCCAATCATTATTTTGCAACACAATCTTATAAATCCATTAATTTTATATGCACATAAATATTGAAGTTCAATCCTACTTCAGTGGCAGATGGCAACATGTTAATAAGGTTCCATTTAGAACTATTGACAAGATGTTCAAGGTAAATGTGCAAGTGAACAGTTACCTGAGCAAAGATCACTGCCACCGTAACTCTCTGCATCTCGTGTGCATGCTGAGTATCCAAAAAACTAACCAATTTCACAATATTTTTAGGAGATTCAAGTACCAACATCCTGTAAATAAAACAGTTTTGGTAAAAAACAGTAAATATGGCAGCAAAAACACTTTGTAAACAAAAAAGCGTTAAGTTTGGATGAAAAGCTCTTGTCTGTGATAATCACTTGGTTGCTCCCTTTGAGAAAATCCTGCTCCCCCATGGGGACATGAAGTCCAGCCTGGGCTAGTGAATTTCCCATCCCTGGGCACAGCCGAGGGTTCTTGCCGAACCGAACCACAGGATTCAGTTCTTGCACCAGTGATGTTTATTGTCTACATAAATGATCTACCAGTTGGTATACAGAATTATATGAACATGTTTGCTGATGATGCTAAGATAATAGGAAGGATAAGAAACTTAGACGATTGTCATGCCCTTCAAGATGACCTAGACAAAATAAGTATATGGAGCACCACTTGGCAAATGGAATTTAATGTTAATAAATGCCATGTTATGGAATGTAGAATAGGAGAACATAGACCTCAAACAACCTATATATTATGTGAGAAATCTTTAAAGAATTCTGATAAAGATCTAGGGGTGGTTCTAGATAGAAAACTATCACCTGAGGACCACATAAAGAATATTGTGCGAGGAGCCTATGCCACGCTTTCTAACTTCAGAATTGCTTTTAAATACATGGATGGCGATATACTAAAGAAATTGTTCACGACTTTTGTTAGGACAAAGCTAGAATATGCAGCGGTTGTGTGGTGCCCATATCTTAAGAAGCACATCAACAAATTGGAAAAGGTGCAAAGACATGCTACTAAGTGGCTCCCAGAACTGAAGGGCAAGAGCTACGAGGAGAGGTTAGAGGCATTAAATATGCCAAAATTAGAAGACAGAAGAAAAAGAGATATGATCACTACATACAAAATAGTAACAGGAATTGATAAAATCGATAGGGAAGATTTCCTGAGACCTGGAACTTTAAGAACAAGAGGTCATAGATTTAAACTAGCTAAACACAGATGCCGAAGAAATATAAGAAAATTCACTTTCGCAAACAGAGTGGTAGACGGTTGGAACAAGTTAGGTGAGAAGGTAGTGGAGGCCAAGACCGTCAGTAGTTTCAAAGCGTTATATGACAAAGAGTGTTGGGAAGACGGGACACCACGAGCGTAGCTCTCATCCTGTAACTACACTTAGGTAATTACACTTAGGTAATTACACTTAGGTAATTACACTTATTTAGATATCTTTGAAATTAGCTATCTTGTGAAATTACTGAAATTTCTCGGTAAACTGATGAAGAAGGGAGGCTTTCAGGGAGTGAGGGAGGCAGGCGGGTAGGGTGGAAAGCAGGGAGGCTGGAGTGGGTGAGGGGGGTTGTCTGGAGTAGGTGTGGTTTGTCTTTGAATGTAATGGGTATCAGCATGTGGGCGTCTACATTTATCGGTGTAGACATGTAGAGTGCTGCCGCTGGTAATGTCAGTCCTTGTGTACCAGAGAGATGGACGCTATGTTAACCCTAGCAAGGGAGTGGGTGGTGGTTGGGGAGGGTAGGGTCTTGGTAGGATGGGAGGGTCAGAGGTGGGGCAGGAGCTGTTTAATCATATTTGTTTACTTTTTTTTTGCTGTGGAGGACTAGTTACGAATTTTAAATAACACAACATAATATTTGAAAAGTATTTAGTTGGCTATTTATTCATTTAAATATTTATAAGAACGTAAAATGGGTTTTAACACAATTTAAGGCGCATTATATTATGTCATCATACAGCAAGCATTAACACACGTCAGTGAGTTGAGAAGGGCTAGGGGGTTGAACAGGAAGGAGACGGGTGATCATCTGTCTGTCTGTCCGTGACGGGTCTGTCTGTCCATCCATTCGTCCAGTGTTGTCTTGTCTGGCAGTCTGTGGCAGACTTTGTGCAGCCTGTCAGCATCCTGACAGCCTGACTTATTGAAAGGGCTGGGAGGGGAAGGATGAGGCACAGCATGGGGAGGGAGGGAAAGATTTGGGTGATGACAAGGGTAGGGAGGGTGATGGGTGGAGAGAGGGCAAAAGTAGCATGAGGGTGCAAGGATGTATAGTTAGGGAAGAGTATGTCACCAGAAATTGGGCTTATCCGGATGGGGATCCTTCCCCATATAGTCCAGATAATCGAGCTCATACAGTATATCTCGACCACTCTGTCACCTTCAACTCTCAACCCAGATATTAACATCTTTCATTTTCTCCTCCTCCTCTCATACATGCTGTGCTATTCATATTAAATTGCTGTATTAACATTAGTAAATAACTTGTATACTTATATTTTTGTAATTTTTTTCCTATTAAAAATGGAGAAAATATCTTTTATACACTATCTAAAATCTTCATGCTCGTCTTCTGTCTTACAACCTGTTATTTTCCCTTGCCTCCATGAATTACAATATAGTAAACTCATTAACCTTTGCTGGTGTCTGTGGTGGCTCTAGTTAGATCTAAAACTGTCTCCCTTTCCAAACTATTGAAAAGTTGATGGTCATGATGGGTGAACAAGTCATTAGAGGCATGCAAGGTAAGTGCGTGTCTGTGGACCTATATACAAGCTCTTGCTTCAAAGGGAGTTACCCAAGGACCTTGGCTTCAAGAAATATATTTATTCCATATATCATTATGTGATATTGCTACTTACGCAATAATTTCAGACAGTGTGTGAAGGAAAATCTCAAGTGTGTCGTCATTTTCATCTCTAATCTTGGAGCCCAACACATTACAGAGTGAGTTGCACTCTATCACATCCACTAATGATTGAAGACACTTCAAAACAATCCTGAAAGTATAACAAATATTATATTTTCAAAATACTTTTTTTTTTTATTTATTAGTAGGTCTCATAATGTGTAATATCCTGTATATGGATGAAGAGTCAGAAGTTATAGATCAGTTTAAATAGCAGGGGTTCCTGACTTACGAATATTCAACTTGTGAGCACATGATCTTATGAACAAATACACTCATCTAAGTGAATTTGAGAGGAGGGAAAAAAGAAGGCTAAAAAACCAGCATTGAAAGTAATGAAACGCCATTTTCTGCATGAAGCCCCAGAAGCTCCCTGAAGTTATCTGAACTGATATGTGCTATATTAGTTTGGGGTCATCAGCCACAGGAGTTGTTATGCCTACCGGGAATGTCGACCCATGACTTGTTCCCCAAAACTGTAGTGAGCGCCACATACTTCTGTAAGTCATGGGCACGAGGGTAGACCACAGGCTGGCTGGACTTTATGACACTGCAGACAGCCTGAGACACACGAGCCCAGGAACAAGGAACTAGGGAAAGCGGATCCACCGAAAGAGCGTCCACTGGCACAGAACCGGTGGCCCGCAGGTATTGACGTAAAGCCGCCACCGGACTCGACACGTAATGCACCCCCGACCGAACCAATCAAGCATCCATCACTACCGAACACCTCCGGAAACCAGCCATCTCATTCTTTGCCAGAAAAGAAGGCTACAACCAAACAAAATGACCACCCGGACCAAAAGAACAGAACCCAAGGCGCTGGAGGAGAGCACGAACCTCCCCCACTCAAGCACCAGAGGCCAAGGCCAACAAGAAATCAGCTTTCAATGTAATGAAACATTTTCTGGGTGAGCCCCAGAGGTTTCCCTGAAGCTATCGAATTGACATATACCATATTAATTTAGTGCCATCAGTCCTTGGAGTTCGAGTGCCTACCAGGGGTCATGAGCCAGAACCTACACCCCAACTAGGGATTCGGCCAACACCCGAATCCCTAGCAGACACAGACTGACCACCAAGACCCAAGTCAAGACGAGTAAAATGCAAGGTGCCAGATTTAAGCTGAAAGGCAGGCAACAAAAGCTGTAAGCCTGTTGCCCCACTTCGAATCCTAACCAATTCCTGATCCCTGGATGAATATGGATGTGCCAATAAGTGTCCTGGAGGTCCAGGGAAATCATCCAGGCCCCCGGCTCTAGAACAAACCTGACCCAGGAAAGAGTGGTCATCCGAAAAGAAGGACAAGGAATCAACCAGTTCAGATGAGAGAAGTCCAAAATGTACCGGAGATCTGCACAGTCTGGTTTCAGAACTGGGAACAAGCGGAAAACCAACTTGAGACGAAGTTGTTTCGACCACGCCCACATTAAGCCTCTTCAAAATGACCTGACTGAGGGATGGGGAAGAGGGCTACTTCCCTCAGGCCTGACTCCCCCTACAGAAGAATGGTCCACCCAACACCAACGGAGGTCGGAAGAAACTACCTGAAAAGCCCACAAATCATGGGATCAAACGCAGGTAAAAAGAGCCAGCCTCCCCCGAGAAGCCAAGCACCACACAGAGTTAACACAGCGCCAACCAGACAACGAAGGCCCCAGGGCAACCACTGGCACCAAAGGATTACCTTGACCCACCGAGGCACGAATAAATCGAGAAGACCGAGAACAGTCCCACCATAACACCCACAAGTCTGAAATAGGATGGCAACTAGTCAAAGCCGCCGACAGAAACCGAGTGACAACGTCCTCTGGGAACAACAGAGGACAGAACGGCAAAGAAGACTGCAGAGCCAGGTCTTAAGCAGCATCCGAAGAGAGCCAGCACTTGCCAATGCGAGAGGAGAAAAACATAGAAACCGCCTCCCGGAGTATCGGGCAAACAGCTTGAGCAAGGCAGACGACTCCTCGACAGCCGAGATCAGAACCCCAGCCAACGGCCCCTCACTCAATGACCCCACAGCCTCCAAAAGCCAATTCGAAGACAGCTCCAGAAGAGCGAAAACGCGCAAGACCGAAGCCAAAAGAGTGGGCATCTGAGCATGCAACTGCAACAGATCCACATTACGAGGAAACGCAGGAGCAAATAGGCACTTGGTGAGGAACTCTACCGAGCCATCCAAGAACACCTGCAACACAGAAGAAACCTCCTGCCATTCAAGCGTGCAAATACAACAAAAGCCATGCCAAGCTCTGAGAGAAAAAGTGGCAGCCTTGAAGACACCAGAACCTCATAACGCACCCAATATGGGGAAGAAGAACAGAACTTAAAAGAAGCCGGATCCATCACCAAGGCGTACACTGGGTCTTGCAGGAGGTACACACCAAGGGCCTCCTGAACCTCCCCAGGGGAAATCCGAAAAGAAGGCGGAAGGAAAGGAAAGGATAGATGGAATCCGGAAAGACGAATCCAAAGAACCCAAAGACACCCGGAAATGAAACCAGGGGGAAGGGGGGGGAGGCTACGAAAAACCCTTCCCCTGCAGTAACAATTCCTGCCCAGAAGGCACAACGGCAGCAGGGTCAAAAGGAGCCCAAGCGCTCCAAACAGACTTCCCTGAGCCCCGGGAACCCCTGATACAGGCCCCAGGGCTGAGCTCTCTTCCATGCCCACCACCCCTGAAACAAAGGCAGAGTCCAAGGAAAAGATTTCCGTGAAGAAAGGCAGTGGGATGAACCTGAAGGAAGAAACGGCTCAACACTTCCGCGCCCGAATCGTAAGGGGCAGCCCCCGAAGCCACTCGAGCCTCATCCCAATCTAAACCTCGCCCCGACTCCGAAACCTTCACACGTTTGGAAACCCAGAAGCAGAGAAGCAGGGCAAACCACGCCCACCTGGAAAGGAAGCGGGGGCGCAGATGATACCAAGGTCAAAGTGACCAATGCCCCTACATCTGGGGCTCTGGGGCTTCCAACTGGGCAACCAATCTGACACATTGCAAGAAGAAGCAAGCTTGCAATGCTGCTGCAGCCTGAATTCTATCATCTGCAAATGAGGAATGGGTAAACTGAAACACAAGCGGGGAACAAGTCCAACAAGACTTCGGGTCGTAGGCATCACTAACCCAACAAGCTGCATGGTGGAGGCAGAAATAGTGGATAGTCTCCCTGAGGCAGGGTCAAAGAACAATTGTCAAATTCGCACAAGGTGAGAGTGCACTCTGACAGATCCAGGTTACCAACTGAGCCCACGAGGGTTTTCCAGGGCCTGCAGGGTACGTCAGGCCTACAAGTATCCCAGGCACTGGGGCCAGCTAAGCCGGGAGACCCCCTACTTGTAGGCAACAGAGGAGGAGAGCCACCACAACTTAGGATGGCCTAATAAGCAGCTAAGCAGACCACCTCCGTTCACACCGACAAAATTACCAGAAAATGAGAGGAGTGGAGGAAAAAAAAAATCCACACCACTTTCTTTGCTCTTTCTGGCTGTAGGTCACAGTTTTACTGGCTGGTTGATACCTGGTTGATGGGGTTCTGGGAGTTCTTCTACTCCCCAAGCCCGGCCCGAGGCCAGGCTCAACTTGTGAGAGTTTGGTCCACCAGGCTGTTGCTTGGAGCGGCCCGCAGGGCCACGTACCCACCACAGCCCGGCTGATCCGGAACTTCTCTTAGAAAACCGTCCAGTTTTCTCTTGAAGATGTCCACGGTTGTTCCGGCTAGTTGTTTGTTTTGGTTCTCCTACTTTTCTGGGTGCCCGCCCCAGTCGATAGCAGAACATGACGCACTTTACGTTTAAAGTGCTCGTATGTCATTACTTCCTGTACCTTTCTGAGGGGACCAAGTTCTGGCTTGTGGTTCCCGGTAGGCATAAGAACCTCTGGGGGCTGATGACCTCAAACTAATATAGCGCATATCTGTTCAGATAGTTTCAAAGAGCAGACAGGAATTCCCCCGGAAAGATGGACAGACATGGTGAGCAAATCAGTATATGGGCCCCAAATGCAAACTGTGCACAAGAACTGCAGGGAAGCATGTCTACAGGTAATTAAAAAGTGATCGATAAAACATATTTTTAAGTTACAAATCACGTGAACCACTCTACACCTGTTCATATGGAGTAGTGAGGTGCTGCTGTGAAAGTTTTGCCGACTAATGATGATGCTAACTCTACTGTATATTAATTTGCGTGAAAAATGGTGAACTAAAGTCTTTTTAAAGCCACTTTATCCTTCTTCCCTTCATTACTCTTGTCACCTCTGGTCAGGTGCTTCCTCACAACACAAAACTGGGAAACTGGTTACAGTAGTAATAGCGGTAGTAGTAGTAAGAATGATGTGTAAAGTAAAACTTTTGCACACAGGATAACATACTTAGTAGGAACAAGGGATGTTGCTCCTCTGTTAGGAATAAAGTTGAAGGCACTTTTGGAGTTTGCATGGGCAGTCTGATGGAGGGGAGCAACGACCCCAACATACGAGCCGTACGAGAGCAGAAGTAATGCTGCCAACGATGGGAAGTTGTCACTTATGATCTGCTGTGATGCAGGCAAGGGTTGGGGCTGGGGCTGTGTGTGTTCCATGGCTTCACTCCCATCAATTCTCTCCCAGTCATCATCTTCATAATCACCATCAGTATGTTCCCTGTGCATTCTTAAATCATGCATCAGCTCTCTCAGGCCACAGATAGCCTGCAAGTACACAACAATGTTAAAATCACACAACGTACACAAGCAAATATGGGGTACTATATTAAACAAGGGAAAAAATCAATAACAGCAGCCAACAAATATTTACAGCTATAATCTTACCACAACAGGTATTTTATTTACGCAGCTTTTACCATACAAGGCTACTCCTTTATGATAACCATCCTGATATTCGCAGAAATGGTTATCCTTGGAATGTATATGTCATAGGTTGTGTTGTCTGGTAAAGGCAAAAAGCTCATCTCATATGTACAGTACAATGAAAAACACATTGAGATATATACAAGAGTTGTTACATTCTTGTAGAGCCACTAGTACGCGTAGCGTTTCGGGCAAGTCCTTAATCCTATGGTCCCTGGAATACGATCCCCTGCCGCGAAGAATCGTTTTTTCATCCAAGTACACATTTTACTGTTGCGTTAAACAGAGGCTACAGTTAAGGAATTGCGCCCAGTAAATCCTCCCCGGCCAGGATACGAACCCATGACATAGCGCTCGCGGAACGCCAGGCGAGTGTCTTACCACTACACCACGGAGACTGCTTGAAACATTGACTCTCGTAAAGATGTGCAGGAGTGTACTGGATGTTCACAGAATAAAGAGGGAAGCACCAAGCATCAATGAAGAAAAAGAGAGGTAGGTAAATACACAGTACATTAGAGGGATCTTATATTAATGTGAGGAGAATCAAGTGACAGTGAGAAGTGTATAAGCTTGACTGTGCAGTCATCCATGGAAGAGATAGTACCAAGGAAAGGGATGGCCTCAATGATACACTCTTATTTAAGGTATCTGTGAATCACTTGTAGGTAATTTTGAGCCGTTCTACTCCCACAAACTGACCCGAGGCCAGGCTTTCTGCCCGACTGTACCGTCTGTCAGACTGTCCTCACAGCCCACAGCCCTATACAGCCATCATGGCTAGGATGATCCAGTAAGTCAAGCACAAATTTGCCAAATATCCCCTTGAAAACTACCACCATTGCCTCAGCAACATTTCTCATACTTGTTGGCATAAGAGTTTGATATGAGGGTTCAATCATATTGTACAGGAAAGTAATACACACACACCAAGATCTAGAAAATGAATACGGTAAAAAAAAAAAAAAAAAAAAAAAAAAAAAAAATTTGGGCAAGACCTGGAGGCTCCCCAGAGCTTATTCAGGCTAATATGGATATATAAGACTTTGGCATCAGTCAGTGTGAATGGAGTTCTTAGGCCTACCGGGGACCACGAGGCAGAACCTGGCCCCCTCAAAGTGGCATGAGGAGCAATGGCCTATAGAAATACACATGTGATTTGGAGCATTGTATGTCTGCCATTGATCGGGTCAGGCACCCAGAAAGGTAAGCATCCCAAAACAAACCCCTATTCTGGTTTGAAATTACTACTAAAAGTCAAACAAGTAGACAGAGCTCCCCAAAGAAAAACGAGCATGACGTCACCACGTTGCTGCACTGCCGTCTGTGCAGCTTCCCCCTCCCTGGGAGGGGGAAGGGGGAAGGGGCTCCAGACCCCTTGCACTAGCTGCCCACACCTTCAGTTCAGAGGCTGGATGTCAAAAACATGCAAAGAAAAAAATCGGGTCTCACCCAGAAAAAGGTGTTTCATTACATTCAAATCTGGTTTTCTGGGGGTAGCCCCTACGACTCCCCGAAGCTACTTACCAAAAGACGAAAGCAAGAGGGACTTACCCAGGAGGCGGTTGGCACTCACTCCTCAATGCCAAGTCGAGACATTTGGCTGCAACCGCCGACCCAAAGCGACACAGGCCTGACTACGCCCAGGAACATTGACCAGGTAGCGGGCAGCCAGGACCCTGTTCGACCACCAAAAACCCTGTGCCCAAATGTTAGCCTAAGTCATGTTACTGAAGACAGCAGCAAGAGCAGCAAACTTACAAACGTCATGGGCAGGGGGATAGACCGCAGGCTAGATAGCCCGAATAATCCTGCGGACGACCTGGAAGACCCGAACTCTGGAACAGGGAAGATGGGAAACTGGATCAACCCAAAGCATGTCCCCGGACACAGAAGCTGCACGCAAATAACGGCAGAGTCGCAACTGGACACAACACATGATGCACCCCCAGCCTGACCAACCAAGCAAGCATCAACAACCCAAGGACCCCCTCCGGAAAGGAGCTGTCTCATTCTTCGCCAGAAATGAGGGAGATGGCTGCAAACAAACAAATCTATCACCAGAGCCAAAAGAGCAGAAACCCCTGCACCAGAGAGCATGAAGCTCCCCAACCTGACCCCAGAGGCCAGTGCCAACAGGGAAAGAGCCTTGGAGAGACAATCCTGAACCGAAGGGGCCATTAGAAACCGAGGGGGAAGAACTATAAGAGAACACCCTGTCCAATGACCTGGACGGCTTAGGTGGCGCATGAGCAGGCCGGTGAAACAACGCCCAAGACAACTTGTGGAACAGCTCAGAAACAACATCGATGCCGAAAGCAAGCTGCAGTGGCTCCGCTAACATTGCACGATATGAAGCGACAGTATCTGGCATAAGATGACGGTCCTAAAGCAGCCACGAGAGAAAGGACAAGACCGCCTTAACAGAAAGCGAAGTACAGTTTACCTACGAAGAGACAGAGAAACTGAAGAACAGCAGGAAACTTCATACTGCTGCCGAGACGAAGCATGCAGGTGGGAATACTAGAAGCGAAGACTTAAGGAGAAGATCGAATCAGCCACGTAACAGACCGTAACGATCAGCCAAAAGAGGCGGAGCCGCGGGAAAACCCCTGGGTTTGGACACCAAGCAAGCAGCTCCTGAAACCAAGACTGAGCTGGCCAACAAGGAGCTAGCCCAGTCTTGAGACTCTCCCCTGGTAAGTCTCCAAGTGAGCTAGGACCTGGAGTAACAGCAGAACCGGGAAAAAGAGGTACATGACACCCCACTTTGACCAGTCCTGCCGAAAAGCATTGAACCCGACAACCTCACAGTTGGGGAAGGGCACCACACATACCGGGAGATGCCTCGACCACACAGACGTGAAGAGGTCCACCTCCGGGAGCCCGTATATTCGGCAGAGCCAACTGAATGAGTCGACGTTGACCGTCCATTCCGAGGACAGGGGAATGAACCGAGACAAGCTATCCGGCAGAATGTTGGACACTCCCCAAATGTGAACGGCCACGAGAGCCAAACCCCGAGAACTCGGCAGATGAGTCACCCGAAGCGACCAGCCCAAAAGAGCCAAGGACTGTATTGAACCCCAATGGTTCAGGCAATGAACCACCGGGATGCAGTCTGAATGGAGCGTGATTGTCGATCCGCGAGTGACCCGAACCCGCAAACTCCTGCACTGTGCTGTAGGCCTGACGGACCTTACTGCCTTTGGCCGGCCTGGTGAGCCCTGGTCACAAAACCCCAGCCAGGAGACGACACATCCGTGAACACATTGAGCAAGGGCTCAGGGAGGTGCCAAGGCACTGAACCCCGAAAAACCCAAAGCCGATGACGCAGCAGCCGATGCAAAGTTCCCAATGGCCGAACCCAGCGGTCGCAAGAGAGGTGGCAGGGGACATCCTCAAAGGAACCGGCGGGTAGACCATCACGGCAAAGTTCAGGCACCCGCACAAACCCTCCAGCAACCTCTTGCCAACTCAAGGCAAGAGGGGACCCAGGGGTCGCATCCATCGGACCCCTTGTGCCCTCCACAGGGTTTCCCAGGACCCATAGACTGGTATTGCTAAGAGTAAGCCTAGGCAGGGTACTGCAAACTGGTGCCCAAGTCTACCAAACAAACTGCTAAAAGCTAAACCCCCGGGACGTGTCCACTCATGGGATTGCAGTGAGTACCACCCAGAAATAAGGATATATAAAACCCAAGTCACAGACAGGGGACAACAAACCAAAAGGCAGACCCCCCCCCACCAGGCAGGAAAATGAAAACAAAAGAAAAAGCCTGCAAGAGGACAACGTACCCAGGTGGAACGGAACCGGTCACTATAATAGGTGATAACTAGCTGTGCAGTACCCTGCACCCCCTACCAGTGCAAACTACCCTTTACCCTAAGGTAAACAAGGGAAAGAGGGGTTCCAAGGGCAACCCCTCCCTTGCAACCCCACAGCAAGGGAGGGGTTGCTCTGGACCAGGGAAACCAGAGCAACCCACGAGTCCACTAAAGCAGAAGAGGATGCATGAAAGTAGCAGCAAAGAACCATCAAGAGGCAAAGAACAAGATGCACCCCTGACCTAACCAAGCATCAACCGCTCCCAACGGACCCTACCCGAGGTCAACCGACTCATTCTTCGCCAGAAAAGAAGGAACTAGCAGCAGGTGAACAAAACTACCCCCTGGGCTGAAGGAACAAAAACCCCGGTGCCAAAGGAGAACGAAGATCACCCACCCAACAACCGGAGGCGAGAGAACAAAAAGACGTATAAAAACAATCATGGGCCGAAGGGGGCACTGTAAAAATGAGCAGAAAAAAAGAATAGAATACCAAGCAGGCTTAGATGGCACATGAACAGGCCGGAGGTGAAGTAGTGCCTGAGACATTATCGACTCTGAACACAAGCTGCAGCGGCTCTGCAAATGCCGCACGATACAAGGCATCAGTATTTGTCTGCCTGAAACACTATGCATGCTAGTGGCTTTGCATGAATGTAAAAATACCAGTCTTATGTAATCTCACCAACCCATTGTACCTTCTTGCAAATAAATTAATTATTATAATTATTATTATAATTATTATCATTATTTGGCATAAGATGCTGAACCCAAAAACTAAGAAAGGATCAAGAAAACCCAAAATCTACCCCGGAGAACAATGATGTAGGGTGAAGAATTAACAAAAGTGTGCCACGACACTTCATACTGTCGCCGAGTGGAGGACCCCAGGCAGGACACCAACAAACTAGCCACCTGATCACTGCAGAGATGGCAATAACATGCACCAGAACCCCAGACACAAAAACCGGAGGAGAAGACAGAACCAGCAAGGTATATCAGCAGACTGATCT